TAACAGGGAATACAGAAAAAAACACATGACCCATGCAGATTGAAAACATGTCCACCGACTAGCTAGATCCTAGAACACTTTCTCTTTAGAGGACTCCGATGTTTTTTAAAAGTTTTCTAATAAAAAAAGAAGAGAAATGTGGTTCTGATTATGCTGAACATTGAATAACTGACCAGTGAATTTCCAAATAGGATTCCATTTTCACATGGCCCAATACAATGTTGTGAAAAGATAATTGACATGTCTACCCTCTGCCAAAATATATATTAAAAATACTAGAGAGGATCCTGAACATGATTTTAAAATATGAAACACATGCTGTACATTGTTGTCCTATCAACGATCAAGTTCTTGGCATGTGTCACTGAAGTTGTTAGACTTGTGGAGCATTTTTAAAAGTAGTCATCACTGTGATTATGTTTGACTTGAGGAGTGCAATGTTACAAATGAACAAGAAACTTAGGCATTATTCGTCAATTGTTAGGGAAAGGGGCACATTTATGGTAGATTATTCTTCAAATTTTTACTTCCCTCAAAAAAGAAAAATAGTTTCTGAAATGAATATTTCTTACAATTTCATGGCAACCTATCCACTTAGAATACAAGAAAAAAATATTTCTACAGTGCCCAAGCATGTACAATTCACATTACAGGACAAAGAGTAAGACTGGCTTAGCCTAAAATAATTTACAATCTAATTTTAGATGTAGTAAAGATTGCAAAGAAGACAACAAGAAGTATGGAAAAAATTGATGGGTTAGGACAAGGACTATAGAATCATGGAACTGGAAGGAACCTCAAGAGGCCATCAAGTCAAATACCCAGCACTTATGGCAGGACTAAGCACCATCTCTAGACCATTCCTGACAAGTGTCTGTCTAACCTGTTCTTAAAAATCTCCAGTTATAGAAATTTAACAACCTTCCTATGCAATTTGTTCCAGTGCTTAATCACCCTACGGCTACATCTATACTGCACTCTTCTTGCGCAAAAGCCTATGCAAATAAACATATTGTAGTGCTTCATTTGCATAATTAATTAGGGGCCGTTTTTATGCAAGAGGTTTTCGTGTAAAAAGGAGCTGTATAGACAGCTCCTTTTTACACAAAAACTCCCTCTTGCGCAAGAGCTGTTTTTCCTCATTTTTTCAGAAAGAACAGCTCTTGCCCAAGAGGTGGGTTTTGTGCAAAAAGGAGCAGTCTACACAGCTCCTTTTTGCACAAAAAAAATGCCCCGATTAATTATGCAAATTAAGTGCTGCAATATGCTAATCTGTGCTTCATTTGCATAGGCTTTGCACAAGAAGAGTGCAGTATAGACGTAGTTTTCCTAATGTTTAACCTGAACCTCCCTTGTTGCAATTGAAGACCATGGCTTCTTCTCTTGTCATCAGAAATTGAGAATAATTTTTCTCCCTCCTCCTTAGAGGAGGGAGTACTATTGAAATACTTGAAAGCTATTTTCATGTCCCCTTCTCAGTCTTCTCTTTTCCAGGCTAAACAAACAAAGTTATTTCAATCTTCCCTTATGGGTCATGTTTTCTAGACCTTTAGTCATTTTTGTTCTCTTCTCTGGACCTTCTCCAATTTGTCCACATCTTTCTTGAAATGCAGTGCCCAGAACTGGGCACAATACTCCAGTTGAAGCCTAATCTGCACAAAGTGGAGCAAAATTACTTTTGAGTCTTGTTTACAACACTCCTGTTAATACATCTCAGAACAACGTTTGCTTTTTTTTTTTCAATACTGTCGCACTCTAGGCTCATATTTATCTTGTGGTCCATTATGACACCCCTAGATCCCTTTTCACAGTACTCCTTCCTAAACAGTCATTTCCCATTTTGTATACATCAAACTGATTGTTCCTGAATATTTTGCATTTGTTCTTATTACATTTAATTCTATTTACCTTAGACCATTTTTCCAGTTTGTCCAGATCTTTTTGAATTATAACTCTATCCTCCAAAACTTGGTATCATCTGAAAACTTTAAGTGTTCTCTCTGTTGATAATTGATACAGACCTGGTCTCAAAACTGATACATGTGCCACCCCACTTGTTATGCCCTTCCAGCATGACTGTGAAGCTAATAAGATTATGTGTATATGTATTTCTAGAGTATTCAATTCAAAGTTTTTATTTTTGTTTAAGTAATAATGATTCTTGAGTGATTTCTTGTGGGCATAACAGAAGTGAGCCATAAGGAAGGATTTGAATAAAAGCATAGTAAGTTGGTAGACTACAAATGGGAGATAAGTCTTTATGAAGGGGTCACAGTGGAGGAAGACAAGGAAATGAATGAGCAAGAAATTAATAGATGAGGTATTGCTGGCAACTTTAGATTCTTAGGCTACGTCTATATTGGCAAGATTTTGCGCAAATACTCTTTAATGCAAGAGTTTTTGCATTAGAGTACTTGAGTAAGAGAGCATCTACACTGGCATGTGCCTGTGTGCAAAATATGTGCTTTTGCGCAAGAGCATCTGTGCCAGTGTAGACGCTCTCTTGCACATGAAAGCTCCGATGGCCATTTTAAACATCGGGCTTTCTTGCGCAAGACATCGATGTTGCCTGTCTACACTTGCCTCTTGCGCAAGAACAGTTGCGCAAGAGGGCTTATCCCTGAGCAGGAGCGTCAGAGTATTTGCACAAGAAGCACTGATTTGTATACATTAGAACATCAGTGTTCTTGCACAAGTACTCACAGCCAGTGCAGCCAGGTGGCAAAATATTGCACAAAAGCGGCCGCTTTTGCGCAAAATCTTGCCAATGTATACACAGCCTTAGAGTCATTAAAGACTTCTAGTGCTCATGATCAGCAAAATTACATAGGAGATTACCTGGACACTGTAATGCTAGATCAGATCTTTTTGTAGCTCAGGCCAATTCCTTTGAGGGGTGAAAAATATCTCATTTGGCCAATGGTGCAATTCTATACGTTTGCAGAGACATTTCTTCCTGAGCCCTGCTGCTCTGTAGCATGAGATTTGATTAGCCCATCTTAGTAGGTATCATAGCATTGCCCAGGTTGGTTGCAGTAACTGGGAAAGAGCAGCAACTGTGGCTGGACCCACATGGAGAAGCGGCTCCGTTGACGCCTGACAGAGAGCAATGGCAGGCTTCTGGACCAAGAGGTAGGTGCTGCTACGCTACCCAGGAGAGAAGGGCAGAGAAGACTCGGGTCCGTGGCCCCTTCTGCCAGTCCCACCATGCTCCAATTGCCCCAACTTTGCCCCTCGCTGTAGAGACCGGCCCCTCGCACCTCTTTCCGCCGGACTGGGCAGGCTCCGTGTCTGCTCCTGGCTCCACAGGCAGCAGGTGAGTCCCGGGAGAAGCGGGCGGCGGGAGGTGATGCGGAGAGCTAGCGATGGGGCGAGAGGCGTGAGCAGGGGGGGAGCCGCGGGGGAAGAGGCAGGGCAGGGGGGGGGGCCGGCGG